AGATCACAGTGTTTTGCAATGTTTCTTCTGCACACCAAAATGCTTGCTGAAAGGGTAATAATACTACAGAGGTTACACACTCCATGGCCTGCCACCCAGAATGTAACAGGTTGCTATTATTTTACATGTGCCCATCAACCACAGTTGGTTGGGGTGTAAAGTGAGACAGGACTTGGCTGTTATATGAATAAACATTGTGTTTACTCTTCCTTCAAAAGAATCTTTTCTTGCTCTACTCAGTACGTAGACACCAATGAAGTGCAGAGATGCTTGGAGCAGTGTAGGGGCATGTAAAGATGGTACACTAAATCACATAATTTCTCATGAACTGTTGAACATCTGTTCTTGTATCCTACCTATCTGTAGGGAAGCTCTGTCAAATTAATACTGCCCCAGTTGATATGAGGCTTTGAGCAACCTGGTCAAGTAGAAGGTGTCCTTGTCCCATGGCAGGGGGTTGAAACTAGATGAGCTTTTAAAGTCCCTTCCAACCCAAACCATTCTGTGATTCTATGATTTGGAGAAGGCTTCTGTTACCCTTTTTCCTGTGTAATTTATTTCCCTAGATGCTACAGAGAAAAGGAAGTGCCTTGCTTTACAAACAGGCCTGCTTTGTTTTTTACACGGACGCAGCTCAGGCTAGACAACAACCTTGCAGTCTGGGAAAAAAAAAAAAAGAGAAGGAGGAGTCAGAACATATTTTCTTGTTGTGTTCAGCTTTTTATTTTAATTTCTTTTATTTCACAACATCTTTCTAAATTGGAGATACATGGATTTGACGGATGGACTGTTCAGGGGATGAGGAATTGGTTGGATGATCACATCCAGAGAGCAGTGGTCAGTGGCTCAATGTCCATATGGAGATCACCCCTAAATGGTGTCTCTTGGGGGTCTGTACTGGGACCAGTACTGCTGAATACCTTCGTCAATGACATAGACAGTAGAATCGAGTGCGCTTTCAGCAAGTTTGCCGAGAACACTAAGCTGAGCGGTGCAGTTGATGCCTCTGAGGGACAGGATGCTATTCAGAGGGACCTGGACAAGATCAAGAACTGGGCCATATATGAACCTCATAAGGTTCAACAAGGCCAAGTGCAAGGTCCTGGGTTGGGGCAACCCCTGCTATCAATACAGGCTGAGGGATGAAGAGATTGAGAGTACCCCTGAGCAGTAGGATTAGGGTTAGATGAAAAACTGGTCATGAGCTGACAACGTACACTTGCAGCCCAGAAAGCCAACCATGTCCTTGGCTGCATCACCAGCAGCCTGACCAGCAGGTCAAGGGAGGGGATTCTCCCCCTCTACTCTGCTCTGCTGACACCCCACCTGCAGTCGTGAGTCCAACTCTGGGGTCCTTAGTACAGGAAAGACATGGACCTGCTGGAGAGGATCCAGAGGAGGACATAAAAATGATCAGAGGGATGGAACATTCTTCTATGAGGAAATGCTGAGGGAGTTGTGGTTGTTCAGAAGAAAAGGCTCTAGGAAGACCTTATTGTGGCCTTTCAATACTTAAAGGGGTTATAACAAAGATGGGGACAGGGCCTGTAGCGATAGGACAAGGGGGAATGGTTTTAAACTAAAAGAGGGTAGATTCTGACTAGATATAAGGAAGAAGATTTTTATGAAGAGGGTGGTAAAGCAGTGAACATGTTTCCCAGAGAGGTGGTACGTACCCTATCTCTGGAAACGTTCAAGGTCAGGTTGGACAGGGCTCTGAGCAACTTGATCTACATGAAGATGTCCTTGTTCATTGCAGGGGGGCTGGAATAGATGACCTTTGAAGGTCCCTTCCAACCCAAACCATTCTGTGAATCTATGATTCACTCTAGGGATATTTTTTAGTGTTACTTCAATACTTATCTCTGTGCTGACTTCCTTAATTTTTGCTATTGCTTTAGATTGCCACAGTGGCAATAGGCATTGCTTGAAATAGAAGATGGTCTTTCAGAAGGAACACAGGGCAAAAGAGCTGATGAGAGGACTCCTACTCTGAGACACTGGATGGTAATCTTCTCCCTCCTCTACAATGGAATTTTCCTTCCCTTCAGAATATTTTCTCTCTATGATACAGAACTTTGATAGCCAATAAATAGACATAAGGTGCAGCTCCAGTGCCAGGAAGAATTAATTTTACAAGCAATTTTCAAAGGTGGCTGTCATGGAGGTTTTAAAGAGAAACTCTTGCTCGTACAGTGCAGGGAAATGTGATGACTGCTGTTCTTGTAGCTGTAGCAGGGAGTGTAGTTGTAACCAGAAAAGCATTCAGAGTCCAAGAATCACCACCAAGAAAACCCACTGAACTATTTTTATGTTTTCAGAACTTTTTTTGGTGACATGTTTCTCAAGCAGTGTCAGCCCCTCTGTTCCCGAGGTTGCTAGCCAGCAGGAGGCTTTGGGAACAGGCTCTTTACTCTTGCTGTCTCACCCACACAGAAACCCCTTAAATGTTGATTCAAATGATAGCAGGGGGACATTTTTCATGCTTTTTTTTAAATATTAGTTTCTCTCTTACAAACCTTTGTGAGCCATCTCTCTCTTTAAACTCCTTTCTGCCAGGAAGTCTCTGTCCCATAACACTCTAATCCTTTGGCTTGTATGTCTCCAGATCTCCCTGTATGAGTTACTGGCATATGTGTCCTGTTTGTCCCTGTTGGAGCAGAAGGTCTTGGCAGACGGACTCTGGGTATTGCAGGAAATCTCAAGCACTGGCAAATGCTAAAGGATTGCCATTCTCTGCCTTTTTCCTTCTGTAGTCCCATTACCACATTATTTTTTTTTTTTTGTGAGCTCCCAGTCCTGTTTGTGGTTGCCATTACCAGTCTCACTGGGATCTTAACACTGGAAACCACTGCGCTGGAAATGCTGGGACTGCAATTCCAGATGTGGCACTTGTAAATCCTGTCTATGCAGGAAAGTTTGCAACCTTAAAGTAAATAGCATGGAACATAACAGAATGAGGGGAGGGGAGGGAAAGGGAAGGGAAAAGAAGGGAAGGGAAGCCCTTTAGATACTTGAAGGCTACTATAAGGTCTCCCCAGAACTGTGAGTAGTCACCCATCACAGCAAGGTTGGTGTGTGGCTTGGATCAGCCACAAGTGGACCTACCTGGTTTAATATCTCTTTCTACAGTGGGTATATTTCTGTTTTGATATCTCTCAGTCCAAAGTCCTTTGTCAGTCAGCATTGTCTTTATCTGTTTTAGCCTCTTGTATAAAATACTGCTGCGTTCTCATGTGCACTCAGATGCTGCTATTTCTCTATAAAATGCTGCCAGTCCTAAATTGCCTGTGCAGGTTGACAGGGTCAGGTAGGGAAGTAAAGAAGCAATACTCAGATACAGCAGGAACAGCAGCAGCCACACTGCACTCTACTACAGGACCTTCAGCTCCAAGATACCAAGGGCTGGGAGCAGCTGGCTAAGTTCCATGATTCAGGAGGTTAGACCCATTGAAAGTAAAGTCCATTCACTGTCCTCAACAAAGAAATCTTTCTTCCAGTTATTTGTCTGGTGCGGGGCAGTTTGTTTTTTTTTTAAACAGATTGAAAACAAAACTGTTTTTCAGTTGGTGTTCACGCAAAGTTTTGCCATTAATGATTTATATTTGCTCAGAGTTGGGCTCCAGTTTATTACAGACTTTCATCAAGAAAGGTCAACTTCAGGTTTTCCTGTCTACAAGAAAGCTGAGGATTTTTTCTAGGGTTTAAATGCCACCTAAAAAAAGGCCTCTTTAAAATACATGTTCTTTATACATTAAAGCAGCAGCAAGATAGAGAAGAAAACTTTATTTTTCTTTGCAGGTCAACTTCAAGGTCAGGACTATAAGCCTTTTGTAACTCCTTGAAATTTTAAACTGCTTTCTTAGTTAAATTGAATACCACTGCCTTTAGAACTAAAACAAACCACTGCACCTTTTCCCCTTCTGAGGAAAGGAAGTTGGGGGGGGGGAATCTGCAATGGAGTAAGCAACAAGACCTAATTCCTGAGTATTTGATCCTGGAGTTTGAGGTGGGCAGGGATCCATGGGGCACCAGGAAGAAATCTCAGCTGCTGCTGTAGCACCTACAGCAAGGTAGATAAATTAGTACATGGCAACTAGGAAACCTGGAATTCCTTGTCTCTTAAATGAAACAAAACTATAAAGTGTATCATCCATCTGTTAAGTACTTGCTTGTGATTTTCAACTCTTAGCCTTGCAAAAACAGTGTCAGGGGATGCCAGGCACACCCTTATTGTTTCCATCTCTATACAAGGCCATTGAGCAACTTCTTTTCCTATTGTAGAATTGGTGTCAAGGGGAAAAGGAGACTCAGATGGAAATTCCTAACTTCTGCTGTTTCATTTTATCCCTGTTAGGAAGGTGGGGGCAGTACCTGACATGCTTCAGGATGAGGTAGGTGCTGGTCAGCTCTCTGCCACCCGTCCCCAGCATTGCAAAGGCCTCATGTTGAGAAGCAGGGTTTCTACCCTTTTCCTAGTGCCTCATCACCCTCACAGAGAAGAACTTCTTCCTAATATCTCATCTCAATCTGCCCTCTGTCAGGTTAAAGCCATCCCCCCTTGTCCTGTCACTACAGGCCCTTGTCAAAAGCCCCTCTCCAGATTTCTTGTCGGTCCTTTTAGTCACTGGAAGCTGCTCTAAGGTCTCCTCAGGGCCCTCTCTTTTCCAGGCTGAACAAGCCCAGCTCCCTCAGCCTGTCTCTATAGACGAGTGACTCCAGCCTTCAAAACACCTTCATGGCCTCCTCTGGACTCCCTCTAACAGGGCAGATAAACACACGTATTTATCTTTATTAAGACAAGTCACCTGACAGCAGTGGAAATATCTTCCAGTTCACCAAATTATCGGTTCAGTGCTCACGAAGTCTCCTTCTAGAAGCTTAAGCAGCCATGGCCAAGGTCGCTTTCCCAGGGGCGGTTCCGAAATGGATGATGGAGGAGGAGGAGGAGAAGGAGAAGGAGGGTCGTTTCCAGCGCCTTCCCCATTCCCCGCCCTCTCCCTTCCTCCTCCACCTCCTCCTCCTCCTCCTCGCCGAGCGCAGCGCCCCGAGCATGGAGCCTGCCTGAGACGCTCCGTGGGCTCCGGCAGCTGCGGCGGCGGCGGCGGCACAACATGGAGGCTGTGGCCCCGCCGCTCCCGCTGCTGCTGCTGCGGCTCTTGGCCGCCTCGGTGCTGCGGTGCGGGCCGGGCTCGGCTGCGGGTAAGCTCTCGGGGGCTCGGGGCGGCGGGAGGCAGGAGCCGGTGTCCCTTTTGTTGTCGGACTTGAGCAAACTTTCCCTCGCGCTTCGCCGGGGTTGGGGGGGTGGCCCGGCCCGGGCTCCGGCGGCGGAGGAAGGACGCGCACATGGACGGGACGGTAGGAGGAGGAGGGCGGGAGACTGGGTGAATCTTCCCCCCGAAACTATTCCTCGTCACCCACGTTCGTGCAAAGGGGGACGCAGGAGGAGGAGGCCTCTGCTTCCCATCCCTCCTGCGGGTTGAACCCGGTTTCCCCCCCCCGCGGGTGGCTCAGGTAAACGGGTACAGTTGCCACAAGAAAGACAAAAGTCGCCCCCCTCCCCGTTTTCTTCTCGTTCCGTTCCCGTCCTTCCGCGGTTCCGAGCAGGGATTTCGCTAGGGTGTCGGGTGTCGCTCATCAAACTCTTGGCAGGGCTGGGGAGGGGGTGGGGGGAAAAGAGAGTGGAAAGAGAATGTGTGCGTGTGGGTCCCTTCCGGGCCCCCCAGCTCCGTTTTAAGGCTGTGGGACAGGGGGGACTGCGGCAGGAGGAACCGGCCGGCCCAGCTGGAAGCGGCGGCGGGCGGTGTCCGGCCCGGGCCCGGGCCCAGTGCCGCGGTGGCTGCCGGAGCTGTGTCCCGTCTGTCCTGTGCCGCCGGAGCGCCGGGCCCCGCGGTCACCCGCTGCCGGTCCCGGGCGCGGAGTGTGCCCTTTGCTTTCCGTTTTTAAGCGAACGCGTTAATCTTTTAAAAGCACGAATTGAGGCAGTGCTCTGCCTGTAGCACCCGTGGGGAGAGGCTGAGGTCTGTTCCCCATCCTTTCTGCTCATCCCTGCTTCGGTCCCTACTTGGCATCCCCGAAGATGGGGAGTTAGGGCTGCATGTGTGAGACTTTTGGGATTGTTTTGCTGCTGTGTCTGGTCTGCCCGAATACGTTACCCCCGAGGTTCAGCAAGCTGAAGCCTAGTTGTGATTTCCTATGTAGAAAATTCGGCAGTGTGGCCAAGGCTGTCAGAACATCACCTCGGGGCCTCCTTTATTAGGCCACCCACCTTTTCAAACTGTCTGTAACTATTAGAACTGTCAGTTAGAGCCAGAGAACAGCATTTTCTGCTGGCATCATCGTTCTGTATTTTTAGTTGGAGCTCTGTGCAGGTGTGTGTTATGTGTTGCTTCTTCTGTTAGGGTTATGTGAAAAGATGCCCTTCACAGCTCTGGATGCACCTTCTCTGTGCATGTTGCCTTAGGTTTTTTTTTTTTAGATGTTTCAGAAAACCTGAAGCTTGGCTTTGTCCTCTTCTGAATGCTTACGTTTGTGTAAAGATGTTCATGTTCCTACTTGACTGAATGAAGCTATGTAGCTTTGGAGGTGGGGGAATCAACATACAGGAGTCTCAGATGAAGAGAGAACAGGCTGATAGTGTTCTTGAGGATTTTCTTTACATCACTTAACAGATTTAACCATTTACACTTACTTAACAGACTCTAATGGGAATATTAAAAAAGGGATAACTTTTGATTTGGAACTCTGAGGAAAATAAAAGTTCACAAGAAAACTCAAGTTATAACTTGGAGCTTGGTTTTCCTTCGCCATGTTTTAGAGATGGTGATTCTTTTAACATAGTCCGTGTTCTGTATCAAGAGTCACCTTCCTTAATGTGCATGGAAAAGCTCTTCTACAAATGTGCCTTTTTTTTTTTTTTTTTTTTTTTTACTAATTAGCTAAAGAATCATGGTTATAAATCTTAATGACATTGCTTTTGTTCTGCCTATTTAGTAGGAAGGTATGGGACTCTTGTTAAGTTGGTCTGGATGGTACTTTTAAGGGCAGCTCATCTGTCCTTTCAGAAGGAGCATGGATGTACTTATGAGAGGCTTTCCACGGTTATAGTTCAATTTCAGAGAACCTCCACTCTGCTTACACAGATGCCTGACTTCAAGGGACTTTCAACTCTTATTTTTGTGTGCTTATCTTACAAATATTTAAATCCATCTCTGCAAGAGTGGGGATATCCTGGAACGTCTGCAGTTTTAAAGTGTCTGCAAAGTTTGGCATGTTGCAATGGATCCTGAATATTTTGGCTATGAAATAATTTTGCTGCAGAGCTGTGTCCTTGCTGTATACATGGTGGTGTCAGGAGTGGTGTTATTTATGTGGCTTGAAATAATGATGAACCTCTTTCAGATATGGGTTATACTTGACACTTTTTTTACTGAGATAAGACAAAATGATCATTACATTCAGTACTTCTTTGAAGGGAGGAATTTCTTACCTGTGCAAAATATTAAGGAGCAAGATAGTTATGACAGCAGCATGTTTTCATGTGAAAGTTCTAGATGTTTAATCTTGCACAGTAGGTGTTTTATGTGGGGCTCTTAAAATGTGAAAGTAATTGAGATAATTCTTCTCAAGGAAGAATTGTCTCAAGCAAGAATTATTTTTACTTAAACCCTCAAAAGCGTGGTTAGCTGTTGCTTGCTGTGCACTAAAACATTTCCCAAAACTGTGGGACTGTATCTTAGATTTCTTCAATGGAAAGACTATTTCTGTGTGAAGTGTCCCTGCCCATGACAGGGGGGTTGGAACTAGATGATCTTAAGGTCCTTTCCAACCCTAACTATTCCATGATTCTATGATTCTATTTGCCTGATACTAAGAAAAATGCAAGACAGAGGTGAGCAGAGAAATGTGACAGGGTGGTTACAAAAGTTTGAAACTAGAGATGGAGGTGGAATAAAAAGTGCATTTTAATTTTATTATGGGGAAATGTGATATGTAGGAGTCCTTAACTGCATTTCAGTGCCATTTCAGTTGGTCTGTCATTGATTTAGGGGGCTACTTTCCTAGTAAATACCACTAGCATAATATGAGGGTCTGTCACAAATTATGGTCATAAATCCTCTTGAAATAGTGAGGAAATACTGCAACTCCAGTCTGACTCTGAAGTTTAAGTTGATCCTTTAGAAGCATGGAATCTTCAATCTCCAGACAAAATATGATGGCTTTAACAGTCTTAGGTATGGAGTGTGAATTTATTTGTTACTATTTCATTTTAAATTAAATCAGTTTCATTTTAAATTGATTTTAAAGCATCCACACATTCTTTAAGATTACTCATACTGTAGATGTGTCTGTAATACATAAATGAGCGTGACACACAAAGTCTGTACTTCAGAAGAGCATGAATGCATTTCATCAATAGCCTGGTGTAAATTCCACCATTGCCTCTTGTATTTTTGCACTTTTTTTTTTCTTTTTTCTTTTTTTTTTTAAACAATAGGTGGTTTAACTTTTATCTTAAGAATGTTTTTGGGTTTGTTTTTTACTGGTTTATAATGTGGTTTTGTTCCAGCTATGAATTTTCTCAGGCATATTTCTTGACTAATGCAAGCCAAGGTAACTTTTTTAACAAACAGAGAGGTTGTTTCTAGGAACTTGTTACCCTTTATTGTTATGGTAAGCACTGGCAGCATAACAACAAGTAAAGGTTACAAAATCTCTCTGAATATAGACACACGTGACTTACAAAGGGTGTCTAATGTAACCTTGCTTCTAGTTAAAGTTTAGCCAGCAATACAGTTAGAAGTAGTTCTCTCTCTTTTTATTAAAGCACAAATAAAGAGATTTCTCTATTTGTAATGCTCAGAAATAGCTTTAATGACAAGGTTTAGTACGTGTTAGATCAGTATTTTTTGTGAACATGCTGTATTTTATGAAAACAATATGCCATCATGAGGTTGAGCACAATTACTATGCTTAAATTCTTTGTTAGAAAGAAGTTATGGTGGGTAACTTTATTTCTTGTCATTGTAAGAAATCCTCTAATTTTTTTTTTTTTTTTTTTGTTATGTCTTTAACCCAAGAGCTATTAAACATTCAAAATGTTTGGCTTTTGTAAGTTTGGAATTTCTCATGGGAGTTGATATGGCTGGAAAAAACACAGCACTGAAACCACTTGAAGGAAGTAGTTGTTATTTTCTGCTCAAGACCTTTGTGCAGAACTCAAATAGCTGTCAACCTGAGCCTCGAGGTAGAGCAAATATCCCCCCAGTTTACGGCACAGGCCAGCAGTGATGCAATTCTACTACGCATAATGGAGTCAGCATTTAGTTTGGAGATTTTGAGGCATGTGGATTATTTTCCTTTTCTGCTAAATTGCTTTCCATCCGGATGTATCCAACAACACTGCAGGTTCACTTAGGGTAGAAGCAAATAATTAGGTTATTGGCTGGGGACACTGGCTGGCCAAAGCCATGTGCTGTTTGGATGCTTGAAACTTTCTGAAGAAGTCAAAGATGTGCCATCTCCTGACAGCCCACAGCTGGGACCTCTAACTGCAGGAATTACTTCTGGAGAGTCTTATTGCTATTAAATTAGGCTATGGAAAGTCTCATGATAGAGTCAAAGGATATTTTGAGTATGTCTTGAGATTTTGGGTGATGAAACAGTTGTGGTGAGAGGAGGAGAGAAACTGGGAAGTATGTCCCACAAAGTATTGCTTGGTGCAGTGGTTTATTAGGAGTTTTTGGGCCAACAGTTCTTTCCACTCCTTCTCTCTCAGAAAAATCAGAACGTGGAGATCACCAGCATCTCATCTTTGTGGTTTCTGTTCAGTAAAGATTGAAAGTATCTGTTAAACTGCAAAATTCTGCTGAAAAGCTCCAAAGAGTGTAAAGAATGGGTGTAATAAATTATCCCTGTAATAAATGGGATTTTCAGTTTCGCTGTTTCCTTTACTCTCATTTGACTTACACTTTGCCTGCCAGCATAGGGAGATGTCAGGTGTCATTTTGTATTAGTGCTAAATCTATGGGGGACTTTTGCAAGGATGTTGGTAAATTGAAACATACTTGATTTAAACTGGTTTGTTTGCTCTGGATGATAAAAAGGTTAAAGCAACTGAAACTGCTTTTAGACCAATATATACTTTATATGAGTGTGATTTGTTAGATTAGCTTAATGGGGACAGTCTACTGGGAAAGAAA